CCGGCGGGGACCCGCCGGCCCCCTGCCCCTTTCAGCAGGCCTTGCCTGCAAGTGTGCAGCTGCCAAGAGAGGCTGCCAGCTGGAGAAGGGCAGTCTCCTCCAAGAGTCCACAAAAGCTACAGAACATCAGGAAGATCAGAAGTGTTGGTAGCCAAAAATCCTCAGTGACTGCACAATTTCTGATATTTTTTAAATCAATTAATTCTGTGGAGTATGCAGCTGATGCAATGCATCCAAATTGTTCTGAAATGCACAAGGCAAAGTAAAATTTAAGTATTAGTATTTTGGTCATATGCCTAGCAATATTTTTTAATTTCTTTTAAACAATCTTATCTAGTTTGAGTTAGCTAAATATTTCTGTAACTTCTTCAAAGTAGACTATTTTGTCTCTATTCCTTTCTGTTCCAAAACAGGGAATAAATTAAATAATGGGCACTACTGTAGACCTTTGGGGAGCTCATTTACATAGTTAATCCTTTCCTTTACACTGTAAAAAATGACCACTTAGTTCTATTCTCATACTTACATTTAAATTAGATTCTGATTTTGATTATATTTAACTTCCAATTCTGAAAATATACTATGTTTTTCTTAAATATTATTAACAGGAGCCATGTTAAATTTTTACTTTGTTAAAGCCTAAATCCATTGTGCAGCAGTTTTTCTTTCACCCACTTTTGACACACTGGAAGAATCTCAGTAGATTAGAAGAGTGTGAATTTTCTTTCATTAAATGCTCATGTGAGCATCTCATCACTGTATTATTTTTTTAACTGATCCAGGGTTGCTTCTCTCCAATCTGTTTCTTAGGTTTGACACGATGTTTAATTTTTATTCAGTTGGGATCAGGTGATCTGAATCTTAACTCTTGTCATTCAAATCAGCATGATTTCTCCAAAGTTCAGGCTAAAACGGTGTCTGAAGCTGGAACCTGTTTTCTCTTGCAAAGTCATTCTTTCCTTTCTCTACTCAGACACTTGTGCTTCTTTATGAGCATTCCAACCCCCCCCCTCCAGCCTGTTGTACTGTGCTGTTTTGTGTGGAGAGTGATGAAACCAAGGATTCACTCCCTCCCAGATATGCCCAGTCCTTGTTAAGGAACACTTTTAAGTAGCCCTACTGGAAGCTTCACCTTCCTTGCTCAAAATCCTGCACCCAAACATTGGGTGGGATGGTGAGTCCCATTAAAATCTCTGTCCCACTTCGGTTCACAGGTAGAGCAAGCAAAACTAGATTCTCAATGTCTAGTAACCATGGCTGCAAGTGTATGCATAACAAAGAAGCAGAAGATTAATGTATGTCACTTTTTTTTTTTTTTTTAAATAATAACTCATTTCAGTCTACTTTTAGGTATTTCTTTTCCTTCAGAAAATAAATGTATACAGCAAGATGATTGCATAGCCTGCCACAAGTAATAGCCTCATTTTTTCTAGTATATATTATATACAGTAAACTCATGGACCTGCTGTATTTGTCCAGATTTCTTCCTCTTTTTTGTTAAGGTTTGTCTTCGAATGAGGTCAAGAGAAAAAAAAAAAAATCATTAATATCTGTCAACTTCCTTTATAACCTTAAGGAAAAATCTTTGTATGATATCACACAGACAGATTTTCAATTTCCTTGTGTAATAAACAGATGCTTTAGGATTTGGATGTAATTTAAAGGTTTAAAATATCACATTGAGATTGATGAATAAATCAGTTGTGAAGACAAAAACATTGATGCCTGTTGAAAATACCTCTCCAGACAGGCAGGAAATGAAATTAGTTCCCAGTAAAGTGTGGAGATGAGGATCACTGTTTAGTTCTGCTGCAGGCTTTTTAGGACTTGCTACAGTGGCACAACGAAACTGCTAGGGCTACAGAAATCTAATTAAAGAGCAAATGTCCCTCCTGACATCGAATTAATCTTTATCAAGTTCCCTATTTTTATTTCAATCTGGAACAAGAAAATGAAATTTAAAATTCTAGGCATGTTGCAAAACAGTTGGTGATTTTCTCTTGAGCATTACAATGCAAAAACATTCAGCATTGTTTAATTAGACCTCGAAGCACTCATTTTTTGAGCACTTTTTATTCCATCATTGTTTGTTAAGGGCTTACATAAATAATACACAAATATTTACTACAGGGCTGTCTCCCTCTGTTGTACAGACCTATATTTCCAGAGTTTTTCCTGTTGATGAAAAAGCTGAAGTAATTATTGTTTACATTTTAAACATCACCACACTTTATCAGTCCTTCATATTAAATTCAAGTTTCTTAAATTACTTTGCCTTAACAAGTATGCTTTCCAACACCCACACTGCTGATATTCCAATCGCCCTCAACCCCAGTGGGACCCCTGAGCTGCAGCAGCTCAGCTGCTTCTGGAGCTGGAGCCTGGCTCAGATACCTCTGCACCGCGTTAAAATTTATCACCTGAGCACATCCTAAGAAACAGGCCCCAATGCCAGGCAGTTATAAGCTCAACAGACTTGCTAGGTGCAAGATGAAAGTGTTGTTACCCCTTATTTTGCAAGATAGGAGAATTAAGTTTGGATCCATGGTCCCAACCTTAACATGAGAGGTATCAGTTCAGTCCAAGTCCAAATGCACGTGTGCTTCACTGGAAGACAGCCAAAGCTATTTGGCTGTGGTCACACAGAAAACCTGAGAAAATACAAGAACAAGTCAAGTCCCCACCCAGTTCCAAGCTGGCATTTAAACCACAGGACCATCCTCCCTATTTATCTTAAGTCCAGAAGAAACTGGATGGATATTGCACTGATGGTCTTTTCCCCTGACTTGGGGGAACGAGCACTGGAGTCTCTGTGCCTGCTCACTGTCACGCTGCGCTACAGCACTGCTGGAGCTACTGGCCCCGTACGGTGTTTTTCTGTGTATGATTGTTTCATGAAGACCGGTAAGAGAGAGCTCAGGGACTTTGCTACCAAGGGCAAGCCTGAGTGCCTGAGGGTAAGGTGTTTCTGTGGTTAGTTTCCTCTTACAGCTAAATTAGAAAGGCCTTACGGGTAATGTTTTGTATAAAAATGATGACGGTGACATACAAAACCAATTTTTATGCCTTCTAATTACACGAAACTCCAACTAAAGTCATTGGGAAGTCTGCTCAATTACAGTTTCCTTTGGATTCGTTGCAGGCGCGGGGGTTGTTCGTGCAGCCTGATGTGCAGGTTTAGAGCCTGGTGAAAAGGCTGTGTACAGAGCATGGGGGTTACCGTCCCCACGGGTGGGGTTTATTTTATCTCGTTAGCAGGGCACTATATAAGTTACATGACAAGTAGATGCAGAATTCAGCTTGTGAACTTGCCACTACTAATGGTCTGTTTCTTGGAGTCATCAGGGACAAAGTGAGGCTTCAGAGAGCATTTAAGGTACTGAGGTGTGACTCGGAATATTCTCCATATGGAAAATATCATGGAAGAAAGTGGCGCTCATTTACAGCCTAGGCAAAAATCTGCAGTCAGGATGAGTGGAGTGAGGTGACAACGTACATGAGATGCAGAACACCTGCAGGTCCTCCAGGGAAGAGGAGGAGTATAATGCACCAAGAAAGAGGGATGTGAAGAAGGAAGTGGCATGTTATATTTGAAGGAAGCTCATTTCTGGGGGTGGAGGGGGACAGGCAGAATCTGAGAATACTCTTATCTTGATTAAAGGTAGTGTGGCTGAGTTGTTAAAACTGCAGAAAAAAACAGCTCTCCCCAAAATTCCTGTCTTAATGAAGGCTTTGTATATAAAGTGACCACACACTAAAAGCTATGAGCTTTAATTCTATCTATTCAGTATGTGGACTTGGGCTAGAACGAGTGGATTTTCAAACTAGGTATCTTAGTTCAAATTCAGTTTCTGATTTAGCAGTTACACATCCAGTTAACTTGAGTGGGAATTGTATGCCCTTGCCCTAGGAGTTTGGTCTGTTTTTTTCAGCAGACATGGATTGCTTTCATACAGCATTCCCATACTTTTACCCAATGTAGTTCTTCGGACTTTACAGGAACATGATGTACATTTATACAGGGTGAACCAGCTGCACTAGCCTTGAAATTTCAGTTGTTCCCCTGGTTTTGAAACACAGCATTTAACCATCCTCATATATCAAAAGAGCTAAAAATTGTTATGACTTTTCATATGACAGATATTTCAGGGAGCAGGTTAGATGTCTCTTTGTAACTTCCACTTTTTTTTTCTCCTTGTCTTCTTGGTTTCAAAAAGCAAGTTATTCTGTGCTACTTTCACTGCATTAGTCCAACAACTGTTAGAAAGCTTTGGTTGAATTTCTGTTTAGTTGAGAGAGAAGTACAAATAAAAGAAGCAGCAGATGGTCCCTTTGTGACTGAATGAAGAAAAAGGGTTTTGAGAACAATATGTGAATAGGTGTAGTCTAATAAAACAGTCAGCCACCTGCTGCCTACATCCTTCAAAAAGATTCTGTTGCATATTCTGGGAATTAACGACTAGTGTGTATCCTTACATTTAATCAAAATGGAAGCTCTAAGGAGCAAACAGACCTTTTTGCCCCAGCGCTGATTGAGTTGTTCTCTTGGTTTTGAATTGTTTCTGCTCTGTCCCTTTTAGTTCCATCCTGTGACTGTGTAATAGGTAACAATGATTTGGCAGTGTTTCATTCCTCAAACCAAAGAAAGATTCTAAAACTTAGAAAGCACCTACACATTTTTTCCTGTTTTAGGTTTGATAAACTAAAGTACACCTGGAAAAGAAGTATTCTACCATTTCACAGTACACACTGTTCATTTTGGGGGTTTTTTAATGCACCCAACCTGTTGCTTGGTTTCCGTACATTGTAATGTACTTGCTTTCTCCTCTAGGGATTTACTCTTCAGCCTGATTATCAGAATATCATCAATCCAACATCAACAGCTGCACAAGTTGTTACCCAAGCAATGGAGTATGTTCGTTCAGGGTGCAGAAATCCTCCCGCACAGACTGTGGACTGGAATAATGACTACTGCAGTAATGGGTAAGCAGCCAGTGAATGCCACCTTGTGTTGAGCAACATTCATGACATGAGTATCTGACAGAGAATTTGGAAACAGCTTTGTTGCCTGTTCCCCTACAGTATTTCAGAAGTGCATCTGTGATGGCATTGTATTTATTCAGCAGCTAGACTGTTGTGGGAAAACAAGTTTTCAATACATACATTTATGAGACATTGTTGTCACCTTATCACAGCACATACACACTGGTCTTAAAAAACTTCCATTCTTTAGAAAACCAGAACTGAAATCTTAGGGAGAAGGGGTAGGAAATGTAGGAAAGAAGTGTTACCTCTTACTTGAGAGGCAAATGGCGCAAACTGTTTTCTCCAAATACTCCATTGCTGAGGAGAGCTTGCTGCTAGCAAAAACAACTAGTCAGGGTGATGAAGACCCACATCAGTGAGATGCAGGGGTGATGTGTGGGATACAAGATACGTGAAAGGGAATGGCATGCAGATCACATGACTGTACCCAGAAACAAAACACCATACCTGTAGGAGCTCTGTGCCTTCACCATAAAGGTAGTGGCCCCTTCAAACCTTCAGCTCCTCTGCAGCATGGTTTTTGTGGAACCATGTTACTGTCCCAGGAACTGCCTCGAAACAATTAAAACTCTGAACAGAAGGTATCTTTTGAGTTTTAAGTGATAGATGTTGTGCCTTGTGAACATGCCCACCAGCCTGACCTCCTCTTGACCTTGGCATGAATCCACAAGGCAAAGGCAGATAAATAAAAGCTCTCGGTTGCTACCAAAGTGTCAAATCCAGCCCAGACAAATGAACACAAAGCAGAACTAAAGACCAGTTTCACCCATTACGTTTACTCAAACCGAGAATTTCACTTGCATTATTGTTTTAAAGTGTTTCTGGAACTCAAACTAGAACTGAACAAAAATATTTTTCTGGTTACTGGTTCAGAGTAACATCTTGACTAGAATTTGCTGACACTGAGGCAGATATTAACTAGTCTGCACAGCAGCATCACCTTCCCCCGTACCTATCACCGTTAACCCATGACTTTCCCACTTGTTCAGCAGAACGGTCTCACTTCTGTGCTGTACCGCCATAATGTCTTGATCTGTGGTGCAGGCCCTTGTAGGAGCCTACCCAGCTCACAGATCTTTATACTCACTTACACCAAGCTCTGAATAGGCTGTCCGTTGTCAAACAAGCCATAGCCACCTGTGGCTTTGATTCCTGGTCTCTTCTGGATAAAAACAATGTGCTATCATTCCCAGCAGTGCTCTCTAGGCACCCACTGAGCATAATTTTCCATCAGCAGAATCTTTCTCTGAGCAGACCCTGTATATACCCTGTGTAGATATGCCTTTGTGAATCTGGGCGCATGAACTTACCCTATTTTCGCTGTAGCATTGGCATAAACTGCCAGTGCAGTGTAGCTTGCTCTGTGCTGCTCTAGGACGCCAAACCAAGTAAGCTGTAAAGCTGTGGAAGAACAGAACTGGTGCCTGGGTTTTGGTGAGGAAGTAGGATATTAAGAGCAAAGCCTTTCTCCCAGAAAATCTCTGCAGTGTGAACCAAGCCCCATCAATGATGCTTCTTCTAAATGATATATTTTTTTTCTGACTTCTACAGACTGTTCCAAATTAGAAACTGGTAAATTATTCTTTTTGCTCTGAGCTGGTATGCTTCAGTTGAAGCTGAAACCCAGCAAGAACTGAATGTAAAAGTGTGCTAGACACAGTGTATTGGTGGAAGGTCTCTTGTAGAGCCTGGTCTCCTGTAAAGAGTTGGTCTAGTTGGCTTTGCTAGAAGCTTCTGGTGTTCCCTTGCGTATGCTTACCTGAACCTGCCAAGCCAACACGTTCTGGTTATGTTTGTACTAGTAAATACAGTAGGCCAGAGATATCAGCGGCTGGCACCCACGTTCATGCAACTAATCTCTCCTGCCCTCTAAGGATAGTGGCCGCGTGGTATAGGGTGCTTATACCCTCAGCAGTACTTACGGGATTTGTGAGAGAGGAATAGTCAGTGCTACCAACCCGCTAGTGCAGGTGATCCCAAACCAGGGCTTAAACCCATGTCCCCGTCCTGTGCAGTTTAGAGCCAGATGTGGTCTCTGAGTTGCTACATGCCCCTATGGCACTAGGATTTTTCTTATTATTACCATGGTAATGCAGTCGTACTTCAATGATATGCTTGGAATGAATGACATGTTGTGGGTTGTAGGGGTTTTTTTGGAAGAATAGGACTAAAAATTTGACATATTTTTTAAAAAAAAAATACATTTGTTCTTTTTCTCTTTGAACAGGGGCATGCAGAGGGACAAAGCACTCTACCTTACCTGAAAATCTGAAACACCTCTCCTTTCCACTGAGGAATGCAGGGAAGTCTTTTCATCATGGATTGCTTTATGCAGTCAAGGCAGTTCTGCATTTTATTAGGAAATACAAGTTGCTAAGCACTTAGGACTATTTGAGCTTGTGGGTCACCCACTCTGGAAAAAATAGTCTTGCTTCTTTCTTTTTCTGTTTTTTTTTTTTTCCCCCTCATTTTTTCTCTTTTTTTCTCCTTTCCACCCCTACCCTAAGATCCTTTAACGGACATTGCTTTTCTTCTTTCCTGAAGGAAACTTGGACCATTCAGATTTTATGTTGGTTTTTGCTGTGAAGTGCTGCGATAGTAACTGCCTTAGCAACTGTAGATGTCTCGGATAAAAGTCCTGGATTTTCCATTGGTTTTTCATAATGGGTGTTTATATGAAACTACTAAAGACTTTTTAAATGGCTTGATGTAGCAGTCATAGCAAGTTTGTAAATAGCATCTATGTTACACTCTCCTAGAGTATAAAATGTGAATGTTTTTGTAGCTAATTGTAATTGAAACTGGCTCATTCCAGTTTATTGATTTCACAATAAGGGTTAAATTGGCAAACATTCATATTTTTACTTCATTTTTAAACAACTGACTAATAGTTCTATATTTTCAAAGTATTTGGAGAAAAAGGTAAAATATTCCCAAATGATATTAATTAAAAATATTGGCTATCTCATGAAATAAACACAAAAAACCTAGGAAAAAACCTAATGTTGATAAAGAGCAAACACATTTATTTTGTACTGCCTAAAGAATGCTTCTTTTTTTAAAAGAAAATCACTTTATGTGTACTGGTTAGTAAACGTCATTTAAGTCCTTTTATGTATAAAACTGCCAAATGCTTACTTGATATTTTATTAGATGCAGAAACAGATTGGAAACAGCTAAATTATAACCTTTACATATGGCTATGTATTATTGTTTCTTCATACTGTGTCTGTATTTAATCTTTTTTATGGAACCTGTTGCGCCTATTTATGAAATAATAAATATAGGTGTTTGTAAGTAAATTTGTTAGCATTTTAAAGAGGTTTCTTTGACGCTTTAACTTTTGCTGGCACAAATTGTTCACAACTGATGTGAATACTTTATTTAGTTTTTACAGTGACATATATAACACCAAACCTGCTTTACCGGCAGAAAATGAAGGTAACCAATACTTATTTCTGTATTTCTTTGTTTGTTAAGGAAAATAAAAAAAAAAAGTATTTTAAGTAATTCCCTTTTTAAAGCATTGTAGCAAGAAGTTGCCCAAAACTAAGACTTGAACCAACAAGACTAACTGAATAAAAATACATAATGCTTCTTCTTGAAACTTCATCAGTTTTCATTAATTAGTCAAGTGGAATAAAAATATTACCAACAGAAATATTACCAAATATGCTTCAGCCATTTTCTTATACATGCAAAAGGTCCTATAGAGTTTTAGGGAGTGTATCACACATATATTCATCCTGAAGTGAAAGGTAAGTTCAACAGCCACAGGGAAAGGGATAAAAAAAATCCAAAAGAAGGTATTTTGTCAATGTTTTGGATCAGGGATAGCTCTGAAAATATATTTCTGGAGGATTTAATCCTGGATGCCTGTCCAATTAATGGAGAGTACCACTGATTTGTATTTTCTATGTGAAATAAAGAAAGCAAGTCGGATAAAGTACACATTATGCAATGCCATTGATTTTTTTAAAAAACAAACCAGAAACAAAGGTATGCTTGCTTTGGAATGATTTCAGGCAATGTACAATCAGAATCACTTGGCATGTAATACCTAATAAATAATGCAGATCAGATGTGATTACTCAAATGACTGTAGCTGAGAGCTCTAATTTTCCTGTCTTGAAACTGTATGAGAACTCGTGATTAAATTCACAGTTTATTGTTTGTCTGTTTAGTACTTTAGAAATATATCAGCACTACTAATTACCCAATGTCTTCTATTTATTATGTTATAGTAAACTACATTTTCCACTCATATTAATTCTAAAGCGAGAAGATAATTACTAGGGATGAGAAAAATCAGCTTTGATTTTGACAGGCAGTTTTCCTTTTTCTTTTACGGAAAAGAACTGTGTTATCTCCATTTCTTTTAGAGCAGGTGCGCAGTCACATAAAGTTGTTAATTTCGGTATCCAAGCAGAGTTCAAAATACAAGAAAACTTTAATGTAAATAAATAAAAAAAAAACCATCATGAATAAAATACTTATTCTGTATGAACCTCTGGGTAGTTGGTGTCTCAGTCTGTAAGAAGGGAAACCTGTGGTGTGTTTACTGTGCAGCACCTTACCCGTCCGGTGGTGTGAGTGTGGTTTTGTGTCTGGGCTCTGTTTGGATGGGACAGCTATGCTGGAAGAACAGCAGCTTTGGCCAGGGTTATATTGAAGCCACTTTGTTCCAAAGGAAAGATCCAGCCTCAATGCATAAAATGTCAGTTCTTCATGTCTGGCCTTGGGAAAAAGTAATGGTTGCCGGCCAAGGGCAATCCATTATTTGTTTTCAGCTGCATATTGACAGATACAAATTATCAATAGATGGAGTCTAGAAGGTTGGGATCCTTTTGTAAGCAGATGAAACTCCACTGGAGTTCATGAACATATACCCCATCCTTTGCTGAAGCACTGTGGCTTAGGCACCACAGTAACACAGATACCCAAGTCACCATCTGTCATAACGATGGTAATGAGAATGCACACAGGAACAAAACAACCTACACATTGAAGCAACACAGTAACGGCAAGTAAATATGATAAAGACATCTGTCAAAGTGATAGAAACCAAGGGAAATAATCTCTGCCATTAATTGAAATCAATATTTTTTTTTAAAACTATTTTTAAAAAGAGGCAGGCAAAATGCAAGATTAGCAACATAGGCACTCTGGAAGATGTAAATCCAATTTACTTGCAACAAGGTAAGCAGAGGTTTTGGAAAGGAAAGGCTTTTCGATTTTACTGCTGCTCTCAGTGTGCCCCATTCCAGCAATGCGAGTCCTGGTCTCTCCATCACCAAACTCACAGAGGTTCGAGCAGAAATCCCGTCCAGCTGCTGCCTCTGACCCAAAGAAGCTCTTTGAAAGGACTTGCTATAGGATTCCTCCCCTCCGTGTTTATCCACAGGCGGTAATTAATGTATTCATGAAGGGCCCCAGCCATTCACAATGAAACATAATGTATTCGTGCCCAGTTCTCTCACCAAATACCAGTTCCTGATTCCAGTGGTGTCTCTGCCAAATATTCCCTGCGAGGCTCCTCTGTAAACAGGAAACCTGACAATAAAAGAGCTCATTACTGGAAGGTAAAACATGCTCTTACCACCTTCCTCAACCTTCTGAGACTTCATCTCAACCTGAACTACCATCTCCAAGACTGTATTTGACTATTTCTTACCTGATCCTGTAAACATGGCAGATCCACGGAGATCTCTTTCTGTTCTCTGGGGAGATGGAGTAGGTAAAAATCCTTATTTTGCACAGACTGTGAGAAGTAGCTAAAGAGCTGCAGGTAACCCATACAGGAGTTCATCCCCAGAACTCCTATTGATATGTCGGTATAAGTACAGATAGAGATAGAGATAGATAGATAGATAGACATGGATACATGGATACATGGATACATACATACAGGGTGATGTGGTTTAGCCCCAGCCAGCAGCTGAGCACTACGCAGCTGCTCCCTCACTCCCCCTCCGCTTCCCCCCACGCCTCCCACCCCGGGATGGGGAGGAGAATGGGAAGGAAAAGGCAAAACCTCATGGGTTGGGATAAGGACAGTTTACTGGGGTAGCAAAGGGAGAGGGAAAAAACCCAAAAACAGTACTTAACAGAGTATACAAAACTGGTGATACACAGTGCAGTTTCTGACCCAATGACCGTACAACTCAGACCGCATGGTCAGACCCATCTTGAAGCTGGACCGTCCCCGAGCCGCGCGTCCTAGAGCTGTGTTGCCCCTCCCCAACTAGCCCCTCTTTTATACTGAGCATGATGTCATATGGTATGGAATATCGCTTTGGTCAGTTAAAGTCAGCTGTCCCAGCTGTGTCCCCTCCCAACTCCTTGTGCACCCCCAGCCATCCCACTGGCAAGGCAGTGCGAGGAGCAGAAAACACCTTGGCTCTGTGTAAGCACTGCTCAACAACAGGTCCATATAACAAAAACATCTCTATATTATCAACACTGCTTCCAGCACAAATCCAAAACATAGCCCCATACTAGCTACTGTGAAGAAAATTAACCCTCTCACCTGAAACCAGGACACATGGATACATACATACATACATACATACATACATACATACACAGATATATAGATATACAACCATTGCCATGTTAATTATTTATCTGGTGTCATCAAGTCCTTTTGCATTTAAATAAAATATTATTTAGCTAGTATAGCTGGCAGTGCTGCAGGAGGTACTGAGCACCTCGAAGAACACAAGGTGCTTTGTGTCAGGTCTCACAGACAGCATTTGCTTTCCTTTGCAAAGTCATGTATTTTATTATTACCCAGCAGCGCATTAAATCACAACTCAAATGTAGTTCTTATTCCACTGACAAGAGGACAAGTGAGAACAATGACTTGTAACATTTCAGAGTCTGTCACAGTTACTGCCTAATTAGAGAAACCCACTAGCAAATGTGCATCTGCATGGATCCTGCGACTGTCATCATTTCACATTCTATTAAGGGCTTGCTGCGATAGACACTTTACAAAGAAATTTCGTTCAGACTAATACCAAGCTGGCAAACATGTAATTGGCTAGAAAATAAAATAGGAGAGGAAAAAAAAAAAAAAAAGAGAGGCAACGGGAAAAGAAAAGGAAACCTTCCTATTTGGAAAACAAGCTGTGTGCAAAAATCCACAGTGTACTGCAGAGAAGATCCTTACCCTCTGACAATTGTGTGTTTACAATGAGTCTGAGCATAATTGCTCTGATGGGCTGTCAAGGAAAAGATTAATTTGGCAAAGATTAGTATTGACTTGCTGTTTATTAAGGCTTTTAAACAGCTGTATCTGGCAACATTCCTGTAAGTGCCTGTCATGTCTGAAACTCAGGCTCACACCCGGGTGCTTGCCAGCTGTTGCTAAACAATCTTACCACTTTGAGTATCTTTCTCCAGGCTAAACAGCAAGAGCAAAGTATTGCCAAATGAGTCTCTCTCACTTTTCAGATGTCAGTTGATGGCTTGATGGCTGAGCTGATAGCAGCTACTGGCTGCTGGCAGGGTGGTTAGAGAAGTGCTACTACACCAACCTGTCCCCATGCCGAGGGGACGGTGCTGCTGTTAGTCACCTCACCAACAGAGAAAACCACAGCTTGCAACTGCTGTAATGCGAAGGGGTTTTAAACCCCTTGGTGCCCATGATCAAAGTTGGGTAGGAGGCAGAACTCCAGAGCAAGTGGCTGATTCCCCCAGGTGCTTGGTGGGCTCTGATGGATAAAGCCAACAGGTTAGGAGGGCGTGTGAAAGTGCAATAGACACCATTAATCTTTATGAAACAAGCCAACATTTTCTTCTATGATTTTTTTTTCCCCTAGACTGCTGATAAAAGTTGTAAAAGCCACAAATGCACACAAAATACCTTGGGTCAATGGAAACCTGTAAAAGGAAAGATGTCAGCTGTTATTTTTGTTACATTACTTAAAACATTTCAGCTTGCACTGTAGGCTTTAGTAGCTAGCTCAGAAACAAATAATACCAATGGAAAGCAGGATAAACGGCTGCAGCTAAACGCCAATACAAATAGCCATGTGTTACAATTAAAGTTGATTTGGCCTTTCCAATAGAAGTCTGATTTTCTGGGATTAATCTTGACCTTTTCAAGTTGCATCAGGCTGAAATAAGTTGTCAGAACAGATGTGAATTTTGTTTGCAGAGAACAATTGTAATCCAGTAACCCTTAGAACATCAGCGTTTTCCAGAGCGCCAGCAGTTGAACAGTGAGGATGCGGACGGCAGTTCCTGAGCGCACGCAGCAGGCCTCGGCAATGTCCAGAGGCTGGAAGTTTAGGCCAGAAAATTTAAAACTGGAAACAAAGTACTTTTCCTTTTAACTCTGAATTTACCAAGCAGCACAGTGGATGCACAACCACTTGAAAAAAGATCTTAGATCAAGGGTGGATACCTTTGCAAAATGCGTGTTCTTTAGCTAAACCAGACATGTAAGTGGGTGATATTCCATGCACCACTGTTTCGCAGCAGGGTGGGCATATATTTTGCTATACAGAAGTCTCTGAAGGCTGCAAGAATCACACATTTCAGATGCTGCTCTAAACTAGCTTTCTAAGTTTTGCCTTGCAACTGCATGGCTCCACTATTAAAAAGGAAAAAAAAAAAAAAAGAAAGAAAAAGAAAACCTCTAGTGAATATTGAGGCTTCTCA